AGGGACCTTGGAGGTCCTCTAGTCCAACCCCCTGCAGAATAGAACAGTTGGAAGGGGCCTTGGAGGTCCTCTAGTCCAACCCCCTGCAGAATAGAACAGAGTTGGAAGGGACCTTGGAGGTCCTCTAGTCCAAACCCCTGCAGAATAGAACAGGGTTGGAAGGGACCTTGGAGGTCCTCTAGTCCAACCCCCTGCAGAATAGAACAGGGTTGGAAGGGGCCTTGGAGGTCCTCTAGTCCAACCCCCTGCAGAATAGAATAGAATTCTTTATTGGCCAAGTGGACACACAAGGAATTTGTCCTTGGTGCAGCAGCTCTCAGCGTACATCAATAAAATAAAATAAAATACATCCATCAATCAAGAACCATAAGATTAAAAAAAAGGAAGGCGCCAAAGGCCCCGTTATGCCCCTAACCCATGGGGCACCGCCACCTGCCGTTGGGCTGCACCCAGGGCCACGCTCGGAGGATGGCACCTGTAGTGCCCCCCCCCCCCCCTCCCCTGGGGCGGGGGGGGGGGGGAGGCTCCAAGCTTCGCCCGGGAGGGAGGCAAGACAGGAGGCCTCGGGAGTGGGCTGGGCAGCAGAAGGCCGCGCCCCGCCGGGCGTCGCCTCACCTGCAGGCGCCCCTCTGGCAGGGCTCCAGCCTGATCCGGTAGGCCGCCTCGATGTGTTCCTGCGTCACGGCTTCGGGCGGCACCGTCTCCGTCCAGCGCCAGGCCGCTTTCTCCAGCTGCAGCCGCGGAGCCATCCCGGGGACCGGCCCGAGCGGGAACAGGGCCTCCGGGGGGGGGGGGGCGGTTCCGGGAGAGGGAAAGAGGGACCGGGCGACCCGGAAGCGGAACCGGCCCTAAGCTATATATTTTTTTTTTTAACACCGCCCCCCCCTCCAGGCCACGCTTCCTGGGGGGGCGCGCGCGCGGGGAGCGACTCCCTCTCTACTTGGCCCCCCCCCTCGGGCTTCTCGGCTCTGACGTCACGCCAACGGCGGACGGGAGAAGGCTTTGGAGGGACGTGGCCCGCGATTTCCCATAGGGCGGCGCTCTCTCGAAAAGGCCCCGCCCCTTTCCCGTGTTGTCTTTCCTCCCTCGCGGCGAAGAAAGCCGTTGGACGAGCGGAGCATGCGCAGAGCGAGCTCGACGTTCTGAGGCGAAACTCTCCGACGAATCCATGGCGCCTCTCCTCAGTTTTTATCTCTCTTTGAAAAAAAATAAAAAGAGAGGAGGGGTTGTTTTATATAATCACCATGTTTTTTTTTTTTAAAAAAAACACGCCCTACACCTAAATGTGGGGATTCAGGAGGGAAAATACGAGGCACTTTTGCCCCTTTTAAGATGGCTGCCCTCTTGCTCTCGGATGCGGCTGGTGCTGCTTTCAACGTCCACCCCCACCTCGTCTCTTGTTTCCCCGCGGGCCCTCAATCCGCGTGTTTATTTTTCATGCTAACGCGAGTCCACAACGCCATTTTCCGGGCCGACGAACTCGGAGGGGGATATACATTAGAACAGGGGTCTCCAACCTGAGCAACTTTAAGACCCGTGGACTTGAAGTCCACTTGCTGAGGTTGGAGAACCCTGCATTAGAAGGCCCGCTACGCCCGGGGAACACTACAACTCCCAGTCGTCCCCGGGCTCAAACCGGAAAAGCCCCCCCCCTCTGTACCGGAAGCTGGCCGTACAGGGGCGGGCCAGCTGAGAGCTAGACGCCTCTTTGACAGCCAGGCGCGTTCTCGTAGCCGCGGACGAGCAAAACTTAGCAAGAAGAGGAGGAAAAAAAAAGAGAGAAGGGAAGGGGAAGGGAAGAGAAGACAAAAGAAAAGGGAAGAGAGAAGAGGCAAGGCAAGAGAAGAAGGAAAAGGCAAGAGAAGAGAAGAGAGAAGAGAAGAGAAGAGAAGAATGAAATAGAGTGGAATGGAGTGGAATGAAGAATAGAATAGTAGAAGAGAAGAATGAAATGGAGTGGAATGAAGAATAGAATAGTTGAAGAGAAGAATGAAATAGAGTGGAATGGAGTGGAATGAAGAATAGAATAGTAGAAGAGAAGAATGAAATAGAGTGGAATGGAGTGGAATGAAGAATAGAAGAGAAGAATAGGAGAAGAATGAAGAATAGGAGAAGAATGAAGAATAGAATAGTTGAAGAGAAGAATAGAATAGTTGAAGAGAAGAATGAAATAGAGTGGAATGGAGTGGAATGAAGAATAGAATAGTAGAAGAGAAGAGAGTGAGAGTGAGAATGAAATGGAATAAGAAGAGAAAAGAAGAGAAAAAAAAAGAAAAGGGATGATATAATCTTCATTTATATGTTGTTTTTGGTTTGACTTTCCGAGCTGCGAGGGCACATATGTGGGCTTCCTGTTTGCAGCCCCACCGCTCTCTGCCGTCCCCTCAGCTCCTGCACCCTTCAGCCTCCTCCCCGGCCACCCTACTCTCTCTATTGCAGGGCGAGGGGCTTGCTCAGGACAGCCGGCTCCTGCCCCCTGGCACCAAGCAGCTAGCATCTCAGGACCCTGGCAGAGAGCAGAGCCTGCTTCAGGTGGAGAATTGGTGCCCGCAGTCCCCTGCCATCTCCCTTAGCACCCTGCTAAGGGATCTCTATAGAGAAGTGCTGAGCTAACCACTTGAGTGCGCTGCCCCGGGGTGGGCTGCTGGAGGTTCGCAGGAGCTCGGGGGGGAGCCTCTAGCTAAGATCTGCACCTCAAAAAGACAAGCAGCCTTTTCGGCTTTTTCCCTTTCTGGGTGTTCAGCCAAGAGCATTTCACACCTGGTAACAGTGTGGCAAGCTAGATAAACAATCCACTCAGCGCTTGTCAGGGAGAGCCATTGAGAAAAATCAGATAACATAGCCACCGAGGGGATTAATTCCCAAATAATAAGAATCACCTAACTCACCAGAAACTCCACTAAGACTCCAAGATCCCTCTCACAGTCACTGCTATTAAGCCTGGTTTCACCCAGTCTTTTATTTAAGTATTAAATGCATGAAATAATAAACAACTTTTTGGTATATATCTTTTTTTAGGTAATTAGGGCAAAGAAGCGACACTTGAGTTGGCCACACCCATCTAGTCACATGACCACCCAGCCACACCCACCCAGCCAGTCATTAGGGCGGAGAGCCCCTTGCTAAAAAATTTGAAGTCCCCCTGGGCTGCCCCCCCTTTCTAGGACAAGGCCCCATTCCTGGCCTTAAGGATGGGACAGATGCTCCCCACTGTAAGAAATAAGGAAATTTCAAAAATAAAATGGTATATAAGATGTTTAAATGTTTCACAAATGGGGGTTGGACTAGATGACCTACAGGGTCCCTTCCAATTCCGTTAATTTGTTATCCAATGAAATATATCTCCCTGTATCTACATGCTTTGCTTTTACACTTTTGACATGCTCCATTATTAAATCAATAAATAATTTTAAAATGGTATCTTCTGAAGTTAAGAAAGAGAATGCTACATTCCTTAACGCTAAGGAAAGATGCCACGTGGGCAGCCAAAGTAAGAGGTACAGAGAACATAACAGATCATTCTCCCTGGAGACATCCTAGGATTAGCTGCAACACCTGAGGGCAAATACATGTATGAGTCTCAAAGAAGGAGGGAACTTGGGTGACCAGATGAAACTGTATATAAAGTATGTTTTAGAATTTAAAGGTGTGGCTTTTGATTTGAACCCGCTTGTTGAGGTTCTAAAAGGCCAGTGGCGCTTTGCAAACCGTCCCTTCTTTTTAATAAATTCTCTTTGTTTTCAACGATCCAAGTTTCTTTCGTTGGCTTTGAGTGATTCCCAACACCACTCACCTAGGAGCCATGTACCTACCTGGGTGCCCCTGGTTGAAACGGGGAGGCCATGGCGTTTTCTTAGAGAAGAGACCCAAACCAGATTGCTGGACCTGGGCACATGTTCCCTATCTGGTTCTGGGACAAATGCTTCATCTCTTTCACTGCCTAACCACAATCACACCCACCTCCACAACAGGAAGAAGAAGAAAAAAAGGCACTCTCTGTGATTGTGGGGTTCAGCACCATTTATTAAGAAAAAGAAGTACAAGAACGGTCAAGGGAAGGAAGGTGGGAGAAGCAAAGAGAGAGGAGCAAAGAGGGGGTCCAATCCTGGACATGGGGGGTGGGGGGCTGCCCCCCAAAACGCCCAGGGCAGCCAGGCCCACATGAGAAGCGCGGGACCCCCGGCTGAAGTAGAACCAGGCACCCCCCAAGGCCCAAAGTGTTTGCCGTCTTCAGCGCTTTGCTGGGGGCCGGCTGGCAGGAGAAGGAAGGCAAGGAGGCCAGCGGTCAGCAATCTCCTGCCTGAGCCATGGAAGTTTCTTTGGAGCCTGGCTAGTTCTCCTTGGAAAGCTGTCATAAAAGAACCCCTTCTGGTTCTGACCCAAAGGCAGGGGGGCTGGAAGGCAGGAGGGCCCCCTCTGCTCTCCGCCCCCAAGAAGCAGCAGCCGCCTCCTTTCCGGAAGTTTTGCTGTGGGAAATAACACTCGGCAGGCAACGGAGGGCGGGCAAGAGGAGATTGGGCTGGGGGATAGCAGGTGCATCCCTTAGGAAAGCCCCCCTCCCCAATAAGGCACTGAAGCAACCTAAAGGTGAGGGGAAAGAGACTTCCCAGGGTGAGGCAGGGTGGCCCCTTCCACGGGGCGAGGCCCCGGGACTCCCAGGCACGGTCCAGGGGTCAAGGCAGCTAGCGAAATGGGGGTGGGGGGTGGGGAGAGCACCTCTCCGAAGCGCTACGGCTGTGCGGGGCGACGAGGCGGAGGCGGGACTTCAGAAGGACCCGTCTCCCGCGTGGCATTCGCTGGGGCACGGAGGACGTTGCCGAGACCACCTTCCCGGATGCCCCTGGGATCCCCTCCCTGCCCCAGGGAGGGCGAGGGCAGGATCTTTGGTCAGTCACAGCCAGCCGGGGGGCCAACACAGCAGCCCTCCGGGCATCCTGGCTCACTTGCCGATCTCCGGTAAGCCGGCCTCCTCCTGTAGCTCTTCTGGCGCAACGCGGCACGGCTCCCCCTGGTCCTCCGAGGCGGCCCGCGCGGCCTAGGCCAAGGACGCCGCTGTTAGCCAACTCCCTCCACCTCCCCCCCCTTTTTTTTTGGCAGCAGCGAAAAGCACCGTTGGTGTGTTTCTTCCTTTTTTTTAAAAAAAAAAAAATTTTTTTTTGGTAGTAATAACAATAATAATAATAATAATAAAATAACGATAATCAGCGTAGATGTCTCTCCCTCGGCCCGGCGATGGCAACGAACAGCAGGAGGGTGGAAGGAAGGTTGTTGGTGGTGGGGCCTCCCCTATGAGGGGCACTCCTGAATGTTCAGGGCCATTTCCGCCTGGTGTTGCAGGTCTACCGGCTGCCGGGGTTCCTGGCCTGGCCGGGCGTTGACCAGAATCACGTTTTTGAGGCAGCCCGTGATTCCCGAGGCGTATTTCCCGGCCGTCAGCGTCTGGATGTCGGGGGCGCCTCCTGAGCAGAGAAAGGCAAAGGCAGTCATCGTCCAGTCTCAAGGAAGTCGCGGGGGGGGGGGGGGGGGGGGGGGAAAAAAGAAGAGGGGGGGGGGGGGGGACCCTGAGGACCCCCTTTCACTCAACCCTATCAGCCTGGGTTATTGATCCCCTTGGCAGTTATCTCTGGGCAGTAAGCGAGGAGGTTGGTGCTCTCCGAACATTCATGAACTGGCAGAGACATGGTGAACAAGGTCAGCCAGTGGGATCTGAGCCTTGAAGGAGCCTGGGTCGAAGAAACTGCCACTTACTCGCTTGCCCTGCTGAACTAAAGGGAAACCATTTTTCTCCTCTGCTTACGTTTTGCCCGTGACTTTCGACCAGTTGGAAGAATCAACTCTCGGCACTGTAAACTTTACTTCAGGTGTTGTTTATGGAGATAAAAACGTGAAGGGGTCCTGCTGAATCAGGCATCTGCGTGTGTTTTTCTGGGGCTGAATTTCTGCTGCAAAATCTGACCCCCCTGAAGAGGCTTTGGTGGAGAAAGATCTCAGACCCACATAGGGACCCCAGAGCAGCGGACGTAAGAAGCTGCCATCTGTGCAAAATAAGCAAGCAGCCTCTTTGTCCAGTCAGAGGCCAATAGACACAAGGTCAACGCTGGACAGAGAACAACCACCGGGGCACAGAAAGAGGCCAGAAGGTAGAAAATGGCCGCTCTTTGGGAATTGCGCGATCCGGAAGACGCCCGGCCTGCTTTCCAGGGCCCAAAATCACTCACCTAAATAGATCCGGCCTTTGGTGTTGACCATGACGTTCCTGCCAGGAGATTCACCAGTCACCGCCTCCTCTCCGTCCACCTGAAGGGATCCTCGTTTCCCTTCCCTACAGAAAATGGGGGTTTTGTGTCACAAGGGCGGTCGGGGGGGGGGGGGGGGAGTCCGTGTTGCTGACTGAAAAACCACTCCCCCCCCGCCCCCCCCGCCATCTCCTCTCACCGGACAGCCGTCACTCGATGCCACTCGCCATCGTCCACGGGGTCTTCGGAGCGGAGGTTGGCCTCTCCGCTTCCCAGCTGGTAACTGAGGCAGAAACACTGGTCAGTCTGGCCCAGGGGTCTGCAACCTGTGGCTCCGGAGCCACCTGTGGCTCTTTCGGCTCCCTGTTGGCTGATCCCAACCACTGTCTGACCCCTCCCCTCCCCGTCACTCCTCCCCTGTCCTGAGAAAGTAAGGGGGATGGCAGGGGATGGAGACTCGGTTCCATATTCCAGAGCAGGAGGTGGCCGGGTGGGAGTGAGTGAGGTCGAGTTGACCACCCACCTCCCAGTCACACCGGTTGTTAAATTATTGGCTTCCGGTGTATTCTTTTCTGTGGGAAACGGATCCAAATGGCTCTTTTGAGTCTTTTAAGGTTGCAGACCTTTGGTCTGGCAGGATCCTGTAGCAAGGGGAAACGCCCAACAGGACCGACTCACCTGAACAGCAGGTGCCCATCCTTCAGCCCGAGGCTAATGAAGTCCTTCGCTTTGCCTGGCTCCCCTTCCTCCTGTGTGTGTGTGTGTGTGAGAGAGAGAGAGAGAGAGAGCAGTGTGATGCCACCATCTCAGCGATCTCCTTTGGGGCTGTGGAGTAACCCTACGACCGCCTCCTGGCCACACCGGGGAGCCACTCCCATGCGCTGCTCCCCTTGCATGCTTTGAGCACCTGTCCAGGGCTCCACAAAGCACCACCCTCCGAGCAGTTCAATACCTGGATAGCAACAACATGCGGCGGGGGACTCGGCTCTCCCGTGGCCTGGAAAGACAAAGGGACAAGCAGAAGCCACGCACGTGTCAGCAAGGCCATGCAACGGGTGCAGCATCCGCAGCCACCGCCATGCAACTCATGCGTTTCCCAGCTCGAGCAGGTGAAGGCAGAGAGGCCCTTCCCTCCCACCAGACGCCTTTCCTTCGGGGCGGCTCTCCTGGGTCCAGGTGTTCTGGGCTGCACTGAGGGGATCGAGAACCTCGCCGGTTGTCCAGGGGAGGGTCTGTCGCCGCCGGGGCTGCTTTGAAGCCACACCAACCCACCTTGCGTCGCGCAAACTACCTTCCCGAGGGCCACTCCCCATGGGGGGGGGTCACCGGACGGCCCTCTGCCTCCTCTTCCCTCCTGTGTCCCCCACCCCACATCTCTTGGCCACTTACCACCCCCTGCCAGAAAAGCAGCCCGTTTGCAGAGCTGGTCCGCACTTCCAGTTCGATGGTCTCTGGCGACTCGGGAAGACTGCAAGAAAGGCGAACCCAAATTAGAAACACCCATTTTCCCCGTCCCCGATGTAGGGAGAGGTGCCCGTTTCCCTTCCTTGCCGCTCCCCGGTTTTCCTGCAATTGCCTGGCAGAGGCATCCAATTACAGGGCTGGTTTTCTGCCACGGCTTCACCTCATCACCCCACCCCACCGAAATCTACCTCCCCCCTTGGAACCCTCCCTTTCTCTACCGTGAGCTATGATGTCCTTCCCCCCGATCATCTGCGAGCGTCTTGGTGCCTCTAGAACGGTGATGGCGAACCCACGGCACGCGTGCCGAAAGTGGCACGCAGAGCCATCACTCTGGGCAAGCCAGCCATCACTCTGTCTTTGTGCGTGCGGGAGTTCCGGAAAGGGGAAGCTCAGCTTCCCGGTGCACGCAGGCGCGCCGGGGAGCTGCTCTTCCGGTTTCCGGCGCTCCCGCATGCGCGCACCCGAGTGCCGAAAAGGTTTGCCAACGCTGCTCTAGAAGGAGAGCTCAGCCCTCAGAGGGGTCTTTTCCCAGCAACGACCCCGTGCCCCTCCCCCATTCAGCCCCCCCCTCACCTCCTGGGGAAAGCGTGTCTCGGCAAGGCCACGTAGCCCCCGTTGCAGAAATAGGCGCCGTACTGTCCAGGAGCGTCTGTCAGAGGGGAAAAAGAGCACCTGATTCAGCTGACGGAGGAACAGGTAAGAAAACCAGGGAGAGGGAAAGGGGGCGCAGAGGGCCAGGCTTACCGTTTCCTCCGCTGCCTTCCGGCCATTCGGCTTTCAGCTGGTGCTGCAGTTCGTCTACGGGGCAAAGGGAGAGGGGGTCAGCTCAAGCAAGGTCTTATGGAAGCTCCCCTCCCTCCCGAAGCCAAGCCAGGTCAGCAGAGCCCCTCAGAGAACCCGCCTTGTTAAAGCAGCCGCCTTCACCCTCGGGATCTTCCTGCCCCGATGCTCACCGTGTTCGCAGTACAGCCCCGAGAAGCCCTGGCGGCAGAGACAGGCCGTGCCCTTGCAGATGCCCCCGTTCAGGCAGGGGTGATGGAGCTGGCAGTGGGCCTCGGGCACCTCGCAGCGTTCCCCTGTGGGCAGAGAGAGGCTCCCGTGAGCACCGGGTGGAGCAGAGGCAGGCAGGGTGAAGATAGACCCCGCCGAGATCTTCCCGCTGGCCTTTCCGCCTCACCCGTGAAACCATCCGGACACAGGCACTGGAACTCGTACTCCCCCGTGAGCAAACACTGCCCGCCGTTTTGGCAAGGCCTGCGGTCACAAGGGGAGCTGTCGGCGCACTGCGAGATGCCGCGACTCTCCAGGAAGCTGTAGGAAATGTCCACCTTCTTCCCGTTGACCGAAACCTGGAAGGAGAGAACCAGGATTAGCACCGCAGACTAATTCGTAAGAGGAGCAAGCCGGGCAGGTGCGAACCTCCGCTTGTGAGGGACGCCCTCCCTGTTTCTGGACTTCCCAGGGAAGGGAGGGGAAGGGATGGACACTGTCAGCTTGACTGTCTCAGCAGAGAAGGAGGTGGGCACTTCCCTGCCCGCTAACGGCCCACCTCTCCGATGCACCCGTGGAAGTGGTTGGAGATGTTGGCAGCTGCCGGGAGCTTGACTGAGTCCTCCACTCCTCCAAGGTAGAGAGAAGTGTGCAGGTTGAGGCCCTGGCTTTTCCCGGGGGACGACCTCTTGACGGGCCGCTCCTCGTCCACCTGTAGGGTGCCGTCTTTGTTCAGGCGCTCGGCCGCCACCTTGTGCCACTGACCGAGGGCCAGGGGCTTGTGGCTCCGCAGCACAGCGGTACCTGCGAAGAAAGACCGGCTTGGCGACTCCAGAGGGGCCAAAGGCGGCCAAGGAGGGAGGAGGCAGGCAGGCAGGCGCCGGGGACCCTACCTGAGCCCAGCTCATAGCGGAACTCCAAGTGCCCGTTGGCCATGTTGAGCGAGACGAAGTCGGCCACGGGGGTCCCGTCGCCCCCGTTGAAGAGGACGAGGCCGTTGGGGGAGAGCGGCTTGACTTCGACCTCCAGCCGCAGCTCGTAGGGGTTTCGGGTGAGGGTTGGGTAGGAGATGAAAGCGTCTGCACCCGGGAAGTGGGGGGACGTCACGGTGAGGCCTGTGGAAGGAGAAGGGCGGGGGGGGGGTGTTACCTGGGCCTCTGCCGGCTTCCTCGGGAGCAGGGCTGAGCCTGGGCCTCACTCACCCGCCATGCACTTCTTCCCGTGTCGGCCCAAGAGGCAACGGCAGGTGTAGCCTTCCCCGGAGGCTTGGTTCACGCAGGTGGCATCGGGCCCACAGGCCTCTGTGGGGAGAAAGGCAGGCGGAAGGTCCGTGTCAGAATATATTCACGAACTGGGATAGCGCTTAGTAACAAGGTCAGCCAAGGACAGCTGAATCGGAGGCTGAGACCGAAAGAGAGAATTCTGGGTGTGGTTTATCTCTCTTCTGGGCTCAGCTCTAAAGTGAAAGAGAAACTAACTTGCTCGCTTGCCGAAACTGAACCTCTGCTCTGAACTGGGAGCTATCCCATGTCTGCTTCTGTTTGCGTTTGCTTGTAACTACTCCACGTTGGAAGATTCTACTCTTGGTATTTGTACTGGAGCATGCGAGAGAGGGTGTCAGCCAGAAAGTCAGCTAGCTGTCAGGGCTCTGGTGGTTATCCCCATTTAAATCATGAGCATCTAGCCAGATTCCCAGAGCTTAAAGAAGATTTATTAGGGGTAAGTATGCTGGCACTGCCTGGGTGTAGCCGACTCTGAGACACATAATTCATTGTCGCCCTTGACCCTGGTTTCCCCCCCAACCCCCTGGGTGTATCATAATTCATATTCTCCAATGGGACACATCCATAGCCAAGAGTCATCAATCATGCTCTCCAGTTAGAATTTTGCACGGCAAAAACTTCTGTCGCCTAGAAACTATCTCTGAAAACATTGATGGAATGCCGTTTCGGTTTTGCAAGCTGCTCCATTCCTCCCCTCCTCCCATTCTGCTGGCAACTCTAAAAGACCAGAGAAATATTTTATGAGTTGACACCTTTAACTTATTTTATATATAAAAAAACAAGAAGTTTAACGACTCCTGCGGGAGTCAGTCGTCTGTGTGTTTTCTGGACTTGAATTTGGGCTGCCAACTCCTAACAGACCTCTTCGGGCGTGGCCAAAGCTGGCAGGACCCAGGCCGGTCCCAGCTCTGCTCCGGGAAAATGCCCCAGTTCCTGGCACGTGAGGTGAGATAGAGGGGAGAGTTGAGGGGAGGGGGTGGGTCTTACCTGGATGGCAGCGCAGGGCCTGGGGGTGCTCACAGTTGCTCCCGGCGAATCCCTGGGCACACTTGCATGTGTAGCTGCTGCTCTCCGAGTCCATGCAGACGCCTCCGTTCTGGCCAGAGAGAGGGGAGCGAGGGAAAAGGCAGTGGTGCAGTTAAGGTCCCTGGACCACAACCGCTCCGGGCACCCGGAGGTCACCAGGATTATCTGCTCCCTTCCCCGATGAGAAGCAGAGGGCTACCTGACAGGGTTGGTCTTGGCAGGTAGGGCAGTTGGAGACTCCGTGGGCTTGCAGGTCAAAATCTTTGAAGATCACTTCCTTCCCTTGGATGATCAGCTGGCGCACGCATCCTGCAGGGGGCGGCAGGGGGGGGG